AGACACTTTATTTTCTGGTCAACGAAAGTCCTGTCCTGGTCATGGTTCACAATCTGGCACTGAGGTTCAAGATCCAACTCGCTGGCGTCCAGTTGCCCTCTCACCACAACTCTTCATGCACATGCCCTCCTACTTCGGATAATCCACTTTTTCTCCCAAGAGAGAAGAGTTTGGGAGCAGAATCTAACACCGTCCCGAAGTTCTCAAGAATATATAGCTTCGCTCAGAGGAAAGAAGAGAAGAGGGGAGGAGAATGCGAGAGCAAACGAAAAACCTGACAGGTCAAAACACAGGGGAAGAGCGAGAGGCCTTTGAGAAAGGTTGAAAAGAGCCAGCAATTGCAGGAAGAAGAAAGCTGGAAACGAAAGAATCATTGAAGAAATGAGGAGCATGAGGAAAATGAGGAGATGTCAGGAGCATGAGAGAAATGGAGAGAGACGGAGAGAAACTGGTGGTTACCAGAACCACCCACTGTGCAGACTGCAAATGAAGAGTCCAGGACCAATCCTTCCCTCCCCTCATTCACAGAGCCATAGTCCTGCACTGCCTTCTAGCCTTTCCACAGCATGAATATATTACTAGCCACACAATGACGTTGCTTATTGTTTATGAATTACTGGCCTGCCTGACAACAAAGGCTATTTTCATAAGAAAACTCTAATTCATTTCAGTTCCTATTTGATTAGAGGCAGAAGAAAAGAAGCCCTTTGGTCATAGCCCCCAGAGGACTGTTTTTATTCAGTCCGTATGAATAGGGCTTTATTGCTCTTCTTTTCAAAAGCTGACGGGGAAAAGCTTTTAGAGTTAAACATTGACGAAAAATTATTGGGCGGCTGTTTTTGTGCAATAACAAACCCCTTCAAAAGGACACTGAGCTCTTATCCTTCCACCACTCACTCACTCTTTTCTCTTTCTTTTTTGGCAAATTGTAAAGCCTGGAAATTAATGACAGACAGTAGCAAAAGAGAGAGGGAGAGAGAGAGAGAGCAAAAGAGAGAGACCAGCTCAGCCACAATGCATGTCAAATCTAAATGATCACAGGCTACAGAATAGACCAAAGGAGAAAAAGAAAGGGAAAGACAGCGTCTTAGACAAGCGACTGTGTGTCTGCGTGTGTATGTGTGTATAGACTGGTCAAAAGCTAATTGATTCCATGTCCACAGAGTTCTGCTATCCCTTTTGCATTTCAACGACAGGTAGTGTGCTTTAACCATTACCATGAAGAGGCTGTTAATACCGGGGAGTCAAACTTTTTAACAGTAACAGATGGTTAACTGCACAACCATTATGTCCTAAACTTAGGCTTCAATCCAACATGAATGTCAATGATGAAGGTCTGAAGCATCTTCTGTGAGAAATTGTGATATATTATACTGATGATGGCAAGGTAGCACTAATTGTGTCCTTTCCACAAAACCAGATCATTGCTGAAAGTGACACCCGTCTTCCAAACTCGATATGCTGTAAAAAGGGAAGCGAACCGCAGAGAACAAAAATGAAAAGGCCATCCTGGCATTTATCTGCAGGTTTTATCTATACACCAAAGGATAAATCAGGGCTTCCTTTTATCAGGAGGGCATTATGCTCCTTTGTATTTATGCAGGAATATTTAACAGGAGACAAAAGGTGACTTTCTCCTTATTCATCTGCGAACAAGGCAATGCTGGCATTCTGAAAAGCCTGACATTTGAGCTTTTTGCCAACACCAGCAAAATTATATCCTTTCCATTGTAAATCAATGAAGTAGAATCATCGCCCACAAAGGGACTAGATTGCCTTGTCACTGTAATAGAGCCTGGCGCATGCACAACCTTCACCCAGAACAGTTGTGTGCAGACGAAAGACAAGGGCATAAAGTCACCTTTATCATCGTGCCCTTCCCCTTGACAGAGTACAGAAACATAAAGCTTTCATATGATGCGATTTCAAGTTTTCCTTTCTCTTTGGAGTGTCTTACAAGCTGTTCATGAATAGATAAGATCTCTAAAGTCGCAAAAACTAAAGTCTCAAACCCAAGGAGATATTCTTTATAAAAGTTAAGACTGGTCCACGCCCTCCTAAAATGCCTCATTCAAACACGCCCCCACATGTCTACATCACGATGTGGGAAGATTTGCATAACGCCGCCCAAATGTTCACGCAAAAAGAAAGAAGGCATAACTTATTGTTGCTGCCACCATGCTGGGAAGACGCTGTGTGTTTCGTTGCGAAAGCAAAAATACTTTGTTTGGCCTTCCAAAAGAGGACACGACTAGAAATCAGTGGTTAAGTTGTATTTACAACACTGTTCCAGAACAGTTCATACCAAATATTCAGATGTGTGCAGCGCATTTTATGGAGGACTGTTTCCTGATCCTGGCAGAGTAGACTTCAATGCCGGCTGTTCTGACTCACAGACTGTAAGTGCGTTTTCATATTTAAAGAATTTGCCACTGATGATTCAAACACGAGTTTTGAGCAGTGTAGAGTAGCGCTTGTTGTTTGTCATTTCTCCGACAACGCCATGCAACGCAATGCGTAAAAAGACAGTATAAATCATTATAATCCGTAATTATGTCCCCACTGGATGCAACAAATGCCTCGTTTATAATGGGTTTTCATGTTTTTGAATCATCGCTCCGGCCTGACAGGGCATCATCATCACAATATGGTAGGGGCGTAACATTTCCGCCACACGCTTGAGGTATTCGGCCAATCACAACGCACTGGATAGCTGGCCAATCAGAGCCCACCTCGCTTTTCAGACCGATGAGCTTTGTAAAAATCGATAGATAGGCATAGAGGAGAAATAATAATGTACAGTATATGGAAAATAATGTGTTTTTTTAACCTTAAACCGCATAAACATTTCATTACACCAAATACACAAAATAATGTTCTTTTTAGCAACATCATATGACCCCTTTAAACTCCTGTGTTGTGCACCACACGTCTGTTCATTCACACGCAGTTAAAAATCTGCAAGATGCGTTCTCACATTGCTCATGTGGTAAACATCAGAGGTGTTCACAGTGGGACATCTTCCTACAATTATAATTATAGTCGACTATAAATAAAAAAAATGCAAGGATGCATTAAATCATCACAAAATTGACAGTAAAGACTTTTTGAACATTCTATTCATTACAGAAAGCTGAAATATTAGGCAGCAACCGTTTTTAACATTGACAGTAATAAGAAATGTTTCTTGCGCAGAAAATCAGCATATTAGAATCAGTCCTGAAGGATCATGTGAAGACTGGAGCAATGGCTGCTGAAAATTCAGCTTTGCCATCACAGGAATAAATACTATTAAAAATGTAAAATACATTCAAATTGAAGAGTTATTTTAAAATTTAATAATATTTCACAATATTATAATTAAATTGTTTTTTTTCTGATTAAAACAAGCAAATAAATGCAGCCTTGGTGAGCATAAGAGACTTCTTTCAAAAACATTCAAGTATTTTACAGTAATTTTCTTTTTAAGCCCAATTGATGACATTGAAGTAGAGAAGCAAATAAACAACTGTCTTTATTTACAGAATTAATTTACAGTAACATGGAACTGAGGTAAAGAATACTAATTAATAAATATCCAACATGAATTCTGATGAGGCTATTCTATTAGTGTTGTGTAAGCGCTATAGGAATAAATGTCAAGTACAGTAATAAATCACAGACAGTCAAGTCCATAAATAAGAGTTTGGCTTTTGCTTTGGTCACACTAAATGAGTGACACTGAAATGTATACAGATATAACTCGCATGACTAAAAAAATAATCCAGGTATAATGAGTATCATAATATTGAACTCCTGTCACAGCTTGAATTGCAGTGGCACCTAAAACAGGTACTAAACATACTGACATATAAGCATAAGCATCATGTCCCACAGTGAACATATAGTGTGACATCTGCTATGCTTGTGCACACTCACTCTGTTGAATTAAAGATTAAGTATCAACAATAAACAAGTAAATGGAATGAAAAAGTTCTCTGTACCACACCATGGAAATATTCACAGATTCAACATCTTAAATCAGAGAGCATCTGAATAAAAGTTATTTAAAAATGGAACTTAACAGTAAAATATGATGATCTCTTGAACCTTTGTAATGACAAAGGTAATATGTAGAAAAACAGGACTCACAATCTCAAACATCAATGGGATGTAAAGACTGAGGTACTGTCTATCTCAACACCTTAACATCAGGTGAAAGACAAACTCGTCACGGATATTCACAGGTTACACTCGACAAGATTTAGCTACCACTTCAAGCAAGCAAGTCACATCATGATTGTTCAGATATAAACAAGTGGTTTTACATTTCTTCAGAATTTCACAAACTACTTTTTTTTTTTTTTTATCTGCTTGGTGTGGATGCACTAAAAGACAGTTTTTTAGAGTTTGAACATTGCAATGAGCCATATAAGGTCAAATATGTACAATTATTTTACTACAGACTCGTACCCACGAACATCAAAGGTGGTTTCAATGTAAGAAAACACATGATAATTTGAATGTTCTGGTTGAACTTCCCGGTCATCTTAAACACTTGTGTAAAAAAACAAAAACTAGTAAGGGGGCAACATTGATATCATAAATTGGTCTCATCCCAAGAAGGATTGTTTATATTCTTTAACATTTTTCTAACTATCCTCTCCAGATCTTTCCCAGCTCTCTGTTCTTCCTCCAGGGATTTCTTCATTTTTTTATAGTCCTGTTAGAATGGTAAAATCATGTAAGCAGGAAATAGAAAATATTAAATATTATTGTTTTCTATGAATTTAAATATTAAGAAAAACTTCCTCGGACCCTCACAAACACTCACCTGTTTAAGTTCTTGTACCTCATCTCTCAGAGCATAAACAACATCCACAAGGCTCCTAGGAAACATTGAATATCGAATATGTCAGTAAATACTTTTTTTTTTATCTTGCAGCTCTATTCAATTTGTGTTCTCTTGACAAACATCCCTTTTTATTTATTCCCATTATAACCCCTGTTCTGGGAATGGACAAATATGCAGTCTTACTTCTCCTCCAGAAGAGTCTGACCATTACTCTTCAACTCGTCTACACTGAACTTCTCCTCCCCAGGAACTATCAGTGCTGGACTGGCATCTTTCCACTGTCCTGTTTCAAAAGAGAAGCCCCGCAGAGTGATTTCAGGAAGATTAGTCAAGTTGGACTCACTGATTAGGTCAGTGCAGGACCACTGTGCCTCAAAAAAATGGTTTGGATTGGATCAAACTTACACAGGACTGTGCGTGAGACAGGAGTTAGTCATGCAGAGAGGGATCATCCAAAAACACTAAAAGCATTCAAAAACCAGAGGACCAAGGGTTTCCTGAAAACTACAATTTCATCAACCCCCAAAACAAAACCCATCAAGTGAAAATAAGCAATACATTTATAAATAAAATTAAACAAAAACACAACTTTTTGTTGTAATATAGATGGAAACAAACTTTTTGTTTTGTTGTAATTTTTAAAGGATAAACATACTGTACAAAACAACCCAAGATTTATTCAAAATGTATATTACAATGTTTGTGGCATCTTGTCATGTATTTGACTCTGCATATATATAACACACATTAATCATGTCTTAATTTCAAATCACGTAAACATCACTGAAGTATCTCTGTTGAACGGTTTTAAGAATATCTGAATGAAACGACTGACAAAAAGATAATAAATATTCATATTTTCTTCTTGTTCATTTTTTAAACCACAGAATAGAACTTGGTCACAAGAAATCACATAACATGAGGAATTATACTCTTTGTCATTATTGAAATAACTGGCAAGTCGATTTTCTTGTTTGTCTCATAAACACGTCATACATAAAAGAGGAAAAGCATCAAACACTGAGGCTTTGACAGTCTCTCGAATGAATGGTGAAGAACTCGACTATTACCATCCACACACCTGATTTGAATGGATTCTAATAGAATTTAAACCAACATTAAATTCAACATTTGTTTTGTAAACTTCCATACTTTTCACCATAGACACCACTATAAACTTACATGTTAGATATAAGCATACAAAAAGTCAAAAATCATTCAAAATACATTTACAAATTGAAAATAAATACATTTATATCACATAAGTATGAACAAAACATCCCCAGTAATACTCTTCATGGTGCCATTTGAGAACCATAGTTATGAATTTCTCTCATTCATAAAGCTCTCTGGTAAAAGACCCAACTCCTTATTTCAACAGAGCGGCAATCTAATGTTCACATTCAGTAAAAGTCCAAGTTAATACCACACATTTCAGATGAATGACAATACTCTAATATTTACAGACACATTAAGAGATTTTAGCATCTTTTTTTCTTTTATAGCAGAACCTGTCCTTGTTGCCTTCAGAGCGCATTGTACCTTCAACAGCGTTAACAATTAAATACTTCTGGGAATGAAAACATCATTTTTTAAAGGACACTTACATAAATATCAAATGCGAGGCAAACAAAGTAAAAATAAAAAACGGAGTTAAGTAAGTGAGGTTGGTGGTTTCAGGGGGAGTTAAGATGTCAAGGCAACAGGGAACTGCTTTGGGAAAGTGCATATATATGCAGAAAATGATGATGTGGTATGATTAATACAACACTGAGAAATAAATAAATAAAAATAAATAAAATAAATATGCATTACAGTGACAGATCATTAAATAAATAAATAGTTTCAAATAAATATAAAGTCACTTGAAATAAGAGGAGTGAGGGGGAGTTTAATTTTGGTGGGAGATGTAGGAGCTCTTACGGGAAACAGAGCCCATCCTGTAACTGTGGGCTGTCCATATACTGTCATAGTCAGAGTCCTCTGAGTGGTCCGAGGTGGCCTCGGGCCTCGAGATACTGCTACGGCGGCCCAGAGAGTCCACACTGGATTGATCCAAAACGTGGTTATGCATGAGATCAGTGCCTTGCCATGCTGAAGAGGTCGTCCAGTCGCAGATGATGAGAGGGGGATCAAATCATATGAATGATGGGAGGGAGGGAGGGAGGATTGCAGATGGAAAGAAAATAAAACAAGGGGGCCGAACAAAGAATGGACGTGGGTTGTACAACCACACAGATGGGAGAACCAATTATACCCCAAGAGAGTAAATGGGTTTTACAAATAAATTAATAAATAAAAATGTGTAAAGATGTTCAAATTAAAATATGGGGAGCAGGGGGTCATGATAAATAAATGAACATTAAGTATGACGAGAAAAAAAGAGAGAGGATATTGTTATAAGAGATCCCAGAATAATTTTGTTAAGATCAACAGACTTTAGTTTATTTCTATGTTACACATAGAAAAGTAGGTATGAATGAGGAATGTCTTAAGAGGATACGAAACGGAGGTGAACTGGCCCGCGTACGAGACTTACTTGAGTTCAGAGTCTGTCTGGTTTTTGCACTCGTGCAGTAGGCCTCAATCACTTTCAGGATCTGAGCATCTTCCTCCAAAGCTACAGTACCTTCAGAGGTCAGAGGTTACATCAGATGCACGATCCTTCAGAAACTCTCAGTATCAATAACAATATAAACCAGCTGACTTACTCTTCCTCAGTGCAAACTCCTCATCGGATGGCTTCCTCTCCGGCTTTCTCTTGGGCAGCAGCTTTTTCATAGTCTTGGGGCTTTTACTGAGGTCCTGAGAGAGGAGGAGGAATGGAAATAACAGGAAAGGGACACAGAAGGAGGTAAAACTGAGATTTACAGCACCATGAGAGAGTATATGAAGTTATTTAGTTAAAGAGTTGTAGCGTTCACATATTAGTATCAAAATAATAGTGACTACAATATCAAGGGAAATAATCAACAATTACAATGTTTGTATTATATCACACTGCATTTAACATATTTTCACAATATTTTAACTAGAAGTCCAGTATGCTGCATAATTAGCTGTAATCTGAGCCCAGGATACCTCTTTAAAGCAGAGAGCAGCTGAGGGCCTGAGTGGGGGTGCTGGACGCAAGCAGCTCAGGCTCCAGGGCTTCTGGGTTTTGGGAGGCTCCAGGGGGCCCCACATCATGGTGCTGTGAGGGGCCCCATGAGAGGAGGGATGTGGTAAGGTGTGGTAAGCTGGAGCAACTGCCAGGCCCCGGCTTTCTGCATGTCTGGATGGCGTCAGAGGGTGAGACGGGAGCTGGAGTGGCAAAATTTAGGTTAACCTTAAAGTTGAAGATAATGGACAGGACAAATTTCAAAAATAAATAAATACATACCCTTTACTTTATATTTTGTAAAGCTCTTTATGACTGTGTTTACAAGTGTGTGTGTGTGTGTGTGTGTGTGTGTGCGTGCGTGTTTTTTTTAATAAAGCTCTTTGTGTATACCACCTATAAAAGTGTTAAATAAATAAATAAAGATAGATAGATCGATAAGATATTTGTATATAGTGGCTATAAAAAATGTGATAAATAGATATACAGATAAAAGAAAATGTACACTTTTAAATATTTCTAAAATATTAATATTTATATTTACAAATATTTCAATACTATATGTGTGGTTTTCTAAAGGCCCAAGTATACTTCATTTCTTTTAATGCATTTAGTCGCACATGTAGTCTTTCAAAGTATCGTCCATTTGAGGCATACACGAATGCAGGCACATCTACACACATGCACTCTAGAAAGATTTATTTATAGTACAAAAATAGTCTGGTGCGTGTACCCCCATGTATGTGTAAAAACTCAAGTATACTTTGGCCTTAAAGGGTTAATTCACCCAAAAATGAAAATTATCCCATAAATTACTTACCCTCAATTCATCCAAGGTGTATATGACTTTCTTCTTTCAGACGAATCCAGGCGGAGTTATATAAAAAATTGTCTTTGATCTTTCAAGCTGTTTAATGCCACTCAGCGGGTGTTGCATGCATCAGTCCAAAAGAAGTTAAATAAAATGCGCCCATCCATAAAAAAAAGTGTCTCACACGGCTCCGGGGTTGAACAAAGGCCTCCTGTCGATGCGTTTTTGTAAGAAAAATATCCATATTCAAAACGTAATAATCACTTTAATGTAGCTTGCGCTCACTGTTGTACACTGGATCAGCGCTGCGCATGCACTGGTGAGTCTCGTGAAAACCAACGTTTGTTAACAGGAGCAAAGGAAGCAAAGTTTCCTTACTTTAGCAAAGGAAAACCAGTCTCCTCTTGGCTTATATCGAAATCCTCCGACATTCTTCTTTACAAATCCTCGTTTTGTACTTCTAATTAGTGACCGTTGTTTTGTTTTGATCTCTCCCCTGCGCTTCCGTGTTCGTCACTTCTGAGCG